ATTTTTTTTCTCATTTTGTCTCTCATAGTTGAGGTATACCTATGATGAAAATTACAGGCCTCTCTCATCTTTTTAAGTGGGAGAACTTGCACAATTGGTGGCTGACTAAATACTTTTTTACCCCACTGTATACACACATACATATATTATACATACACACACACACACAAAGAAAAACAAGTAAAGAGAATAGAAAAAATAGAAAGCTAATGTTTTTTGTTTTTGTAATTTAAATTAAAAATAAAAAAAGAAGATAAATATAGATAAAGTAGGATTAAAATAGAATAGAAAGTGCTAGAGTTAGAGGGTCAAATAAAGGTGTATTGTATGTTCAATTTAACTAAAAATGCAGAAAATAAATGTAGATAACGCTTTTCCTTTCGAAACTCAACAGTATATTCAACAATATTGATTGAAAACACAAGAAATAATGAAATGATTCATTTGAACAAGTTTCGTGAATCAAACGACCCAATTGAACCAAGTTCGTGAATCAATTGATTCAGTTCAGAGATTCGAACACTCGTCGGATCAGTTCAAGTTGAAAGGATGAATCTCATGAACCATATGATTCATTTGAACAAGTTTCGTGAATCAAACGACCCAATTGAACCAAGTTCGTGAATCAATTGATTCAGTTCAGAGATTCGAACACTCGTCGGATCAGTTCAAGTTGAAAGGATGAATCTCATGAACCAAATGATTAATTTGAACAAGTTTCGTGAATCAAACGACCCAATTGAACCACGTTCGTGAATCAAATGATTCAGTTCAGAGATTTGAACACTCGTCGGATCAGTTCAAGTTCCGAGCAAGCACGGACTGCGCGCGAGCGTCAGAGCTTCGGCGCGTTGCTCTGCATTTAGACAAAAAAATATCTACGCTTTTCCTTTCGAAACTCAACAGTATATTCAACAATATTGATTGAAAACACAAGAAATAATGAAATGATTCATTTGAACAAGTTTCGTGAATCAAACGACCCAATTGAACCAAGTTCGTGAATCAATTGATTCAGTTCAGAGATTCGAACACTCGTCGGATCAGTTCAAGTTGAAAGGATGAATCTCATGAACCATATGATTCCTTTGAACAAGTTTCGTGAATCAAACGACCCAATTGAACCACGTTCGTGAATCAAATGATTCAGTTCAGAGATTTGAACACTCGTCGGATCAGTTCAAGTTGAAAGGATGAATCTCATGAACCAAATGATTCATTTGAACAAGTTTCGTGAATCAAACGACCCAATTGAACCACGTTCGTGAATCAAATGATTCAGTTCAGAGATTTGAACACTCGTCGGATCAGTTCAAGTTCCGAGCAAGCACGGACTGCGCGCGAGCGTCAGAGCTTCGGCGCGTTGCTCTGCATTTAGACAAAAAAATATCCCTCAAGCACTCATATAATATATTGTTATAATTTTATTGCCTTAATTTGTTGGAGTTTTTTAATGCAGAAGCTTTTAAAAGGCATGTAAACGATGTAGTTTCTGTATGTAGCCTTTTTTCCGTTCAGTGTTCATTAATCGACGCGACGCGAGGCAACATAAATAAAGCTCAAATGCACTCAACTTAGCTGTCAATATGTTCTCATAATTATATTCTATAAATTCGCTGCAGTGTTTGCATTCGCGAGGCGTCAAGACGTGCAAAAATATCAGTTTAATGAGGACGCTGCGGCCCTTAATGACGTTCAAATGATCTTTCCTCTGAGCAATCACGGACTGCGTGCGAGCGTCAGAGCTGCCGCGCGTTGCTCTGCATTTAGACAAAAAAGATCTCACAAGCACTCATAAGCAGTCATTTTACCTCTATAATATTTTCTTCTAATTTTATTGTGTTGATTCGCTGGAGTGTTTTAATGTAGAAGCCTATAAAATACATGAAAAGGATGTAGTTTCTGTAGCCTTTTTGTCCGTTCAGAGGAGTCAGCGCGACGCCAGGCTGCTGTCAGAGAAACATAAATAAAGCTCA